CACAAATCAGTGAATACAGAAAAATGACGACGCCTCATCGACAATCGCATCAGGAACAATGTGGTTTGCAAGACATCTCTAGCCTGTTACACATTGACGTGTGTGTCTGTCTGTGTCTACACGATACACACGCGATCTGGCTTCGAGTACCGTTGGGGCTGTTGGTACAGACAGTAAAACCTGCGAGATGAAACCAACAGTTGAGTCTGACTTAATTGAGAAGAAAGAGTCTTTTGTGAAGCAAGGCTTTGTAAAGTCGAACGGTTTAGTCAGGCCAAATAATTGCGTTATTGTGTGCAATTTTGCCTTAAATGACGCAAATTAACCAAATACACATTTTTATCTCTTTTCTACAATTTGATCGTGTTGTCGGTGAATCCAAGGCGAATGCAACATGTTAGCTTTAGCAGCAATGATAACTTTAAGCCTCAGACCATAGATTCGGTACATCTCTAAATTAAGAATTCGAAGATGGAAAATGTCAGTATTACCATTGCACAAGACTCCGTACAATGAACGTTTAGGCGTTTTCGTTCTGACAAGACGGCCAAATTGCGAAGACAAGGTAAAATCACTTTTATACCAACGGAAGAAAACCGATCGGGACCAAACTAGAAGCCACTCCATCTCGGTCTTCATACTTTTTTTCACACTTTCTCTCTCACACACGCACACACAAAGGAAAGTGTAGTCGACTCAAGGATAAATTAAAAGAATAGTGAGTATGGGGGGTGATTAAGCATTGATGACAGAGGACAGATGTTACATTCTGTTTTAATTACTTTGAGCCTTCATTACTGGTTTCGTGCATATGCATACACATAAAGGCACAAACATACACACGCGAATTCTCTAGATTGACATATTACCAAGCACATCGCTTCACACCCTATCAAAATGCATGGATTTAGGGTGCATAAATATACAATTTTTTTACTCGTTGGTTGTAAGAATGATGAGCTTGCATCATTTTTTTGTTCTTTGTTTTGGAGCGCTTGTTCGTAAATGATAGTTTCTGGCTGAAATGACGTTGGTCCCATGACGGACGCAATCTGGGCACGGATGCGTCGGGATAATTGGAAGATGAGCCGAGAGATTCTTTGCGAAATCTGCCTGTCGCAGGCTCAATGTTGGCCTCACTCGGTATCCGGTACGAAATGAAAAATATGCCAGAATGGAAGAATGATCGTCTGATCTGAAAACGTCAACAGTCCTTCGAGAGGGTGACTAAAGTTCTTCCTCAACAATGAACATAGCTCCGAAGTGGACTCGCAGAGAAAACCGTCCAGATCACCAGAATTGGCTACTGCCTTTGAAAGACGTCACCGATAACATCGGTCGTCCGGCTTCGTGACGTAGTGAGCAGAAGCGGAATGGTGGTGGAGGTGTGCGGGGATGGGGCGCGTGTTAATGTCGTTTTGTTTGACCGAAACTTCATTAAGACCGCTTTGGTGCAGCGAAGACTCGTCTTCAGAAAGAGGCAGCACCACAAAGGGTCCTCGTTCGAGAGCATTCGGCTCGAGACAATTCGACATGCCTCATGCGTCGGCTTTGGGATCGCTCGATTCACATGAATCAAGAGTTCACAATACCAAAAGCGACGTTTTGCTTGAATATATGAAAACCATGACGTTGTGATCTCTGGTATGGTTGACCTCATTGTCGCAACTGGGTCTTGTTTTCAGGGAGACTTAATACAACTCATCTAGCCCGAAGTCACCTTCC